ATCCGGGGGTTCAGCGGTTTCAGAACAACCTGATGCCCACTGTGGTAGTGCGCGTCTCGCTTCTTCGCATTGCCAAGGGAACTGCAGTACAGGGAGGCCACCTCTCAGGGCCTAGTCAGGGCAGCCAGTGGTCCCTAGCCTGTGGCCATTATGAGTGTCGTGTTCACAGGACACTTTGGGACTGTGAGCCGGGAAGTCTCCCCCTGCTCAAGAACGTGGAAGGGCTGTGGATCCAGAAAGATCCCCCCGCCCGCCGCACGGGCACACATAATTTCCCAGACAATGTCAAGGGGCCCCAAACTCCAGAAAGTCCCCACAGATTCAGCACTGCAGGAAGGAAATGTGCCCGAGGGTGTCTCCCAGTGATCCCAGACTGAATTTGGCAGAAACCAGAGGCCGGGGGTTGTCACACCCTCTGGGAACAGCAGGAGGGTAGGGAGGCCCTCCAGGGGGGTACAAGTGTGTGATGGCCAGGGAGCGGTCAGGAACGTTCGGGAGGCCGCAGTCCCAGTACGAGAGCCACGTCCTAGTCCTTCCTACGGACTAAAATGTGTGCGTGGGAAGAAACCGCCTTCCGGAGTCTGGGGCGGGGCGTCGGCCAAGCCCCACTGGTGCCCGTGGTGGCCAGCTCAGTGACAGCGCCTGAGCCAGGGAGCCCAGTACAGCCGAGGGGGTGAGGAGAGGCCCCTGCAGGGACGTGGGCACCGGCTGTGCCGCCTGGGGTCTCGGATCCTCTGCTCAGGCCCCGGGCAGCAGGGGGGTGGGGGCGGGGGCAGAGCAGGGGCGCAGCAGGTGGGACTTAGAGCGCTTCTGCGGGGTCTTCACAGCACAGCAGGTGGGCCCGGGCGGACTCCTTGCCGGCTTTAGTCCTAAACAGCACCAGGTTTCCCCTTTGCTGTTTTGACAGCTTCTACAGAGAGACCCACGACAGAACGAAACACGAGGAAAACATTTTTGACAGTGTGTGAAAGACAGGGGCAGACACGTGTCCAATTTGGCAGAAGGTACCCTGTGAGCAGAGATGGGGGGTCCAGTGAGGGGGTGTTCGCTGGCAGGATGCTGGGGAGGAGCTGTACTTGCCTCAGCATCCACTCCCCGGATCCCATGTGGGAAGCAGTGTTGCTCTGTGGGCTTCCCTGACCCTCTGCCCCCCGGCCCCTCATCCTGGAAGTGGCAGGCTCAGGGATGGCCCCACAGGGCTGAGACTGTACCAGCCCCTCTAATTCTGTGGGGCTCCGGGTGTGCCCCTATGACCTATACTGGCTCAAGGAGCTGCTGGGGCTGTGGCCAGCCCTCAGGAGCCAGGACCAGCGGGCAGACCTCTCAGTTGGTGGGAGGGGCTCCTTGGAGTTCAGGAGTCACGGTGTCCACTGTCCCCTACTTGGAAAGCAGGGCATGGCTGGGGCCGTGATACATGCATCCCTGCACAGCTAGACATGAAACCCAAATAACTGCCTGTCTTTCCTCAAGCCATACACCGTCCTCATTAGGACAGTTGCCATGGGTGGCCCCGTCTGGATGGCAAACATGACCAGATTGGTGTTCATGGGAACATTCACACCCATGTGACAGCATGGTGGCCCCTCTTGGTAGCTTGCGTGTAGCCATGATCTCTTCGGCTGGGTGAGGGTTGGTATCTTGCTGAGCCCAGGGAGGGTTAGGCTGGGAGCAGCCAGTGGGCTATTATGGCCAACTGGGTACATGTCCTATGGCCTGTGGAATATCCAGGTGGAGTCCCGGAAAGTTCCGGAAAGTTCTAGAACTGGGAAAAGCAGGCCTGGGAAACAGTGTGGGAGTCCTCTGCACATGGCAGACATGCGCTGTAGGGAAGTTGATTTAGGGAAGGAGAGAGGCCAGGATGTGGACTGGTGCAGCCTCTGAGGAGCGCACAGGGGACAGCACCCACAGGAGCAGGTGCAGGGTGGGGCAGAAACCAGGAAGGGGCTACAGGAGAGGTCAGGTGGCCATAGCCAGATGAGAAGGGGGCCCAGGGCAGGAGGGGAGGAGGGAGCCATAGAAGTTGCCAGAAGAGAAGAAGCCAGGCTTTAGAGGCCTGATACTGTAGACACTGAGAGGAAAGAAAGGCAAAGGCGGAGGGCAGCAGGGGTGGGGAGGTGATCTGGGGTGCAGTGAGGGCCCATAGGCCCCTCTCCCAAGGGTCAGCTGACCTCCAAACACACCAAATGCCCCCAGGTGTCCTGGACCCCGTCTCACTCAGATAGGGTTTGGAAACGAGGATCAGAATTTCTGAGAACTGGGACGCCAGTGGCTCAGCGGTTGGGCGTCTGCTTTTGGCTCAGGGTGTGATCCCAGTCCTGGCATCGAGTCCTCCATCTGGCTCCCTGCAGGGGAGCCTGCTTCTCCCTCTGCCTGTGTCTCTCCCTCTCTGGTGTCTCTCATGAATAAATAAATACAATCTTTAAAAAATCTTTAAAAAATAAAAATAAAAAAGAATTTCTAAGAACTTTCCTTTGTCATGTCAGATGGAAGCTCCAGGTTGACCTTAGGGTCAGATTCCCAGGGAGGTCCAAAGGTTGACAGTTCAGGTTGAATGTCCAAAACCTAAGTCTCACCCTGGGAGAGCTAGAGCTCCACCCGACCCTAAAGTGTGAACATAGTGAGGTGCCACTGCAAAGCCAAAACACCAAGCCGGAGAGCTTAAGTCATAAGGAAGGATGAAGAGGAGGAGGGAGGGAGGGGGAGTTCATTGCCCTGTAGAACTAGGAAGTGCAAGGGTGGACAACCATTAGGTATGGCTGGATCCAGGAGCTCTGAAGAGATGAAAAGATGAGCGTTCTCTCACCCTCTTCCTTCCACCTCCACCTTAATCTCTCCAATTCTCAGCTCTGCCTCCTTCCGGAATGTCTAAGCTCTCTCATACTGGAGATGGCTTCCTCCTTGTGGCCCGAAGAGACGGCCTGTGGCAACCCCCATCCCACCCTCAGCCCCCCACCCCCCACCCCCGCCAGCAGGAAGACTTCTCTCTGAGCCCAAGAGAAAGTTCTGCTTTGCACTTGCCCACCATGTGGGCAGGGACAGGGCACTGGGACTTAGACCCCCTAGAACCACACCTCAGGGGAAAGATGTTGGTTCCACACGGGGTATCAAGAAGAGGCCCAGGTGGAAGGGTCCACCCACCCACCACTACCCCAGAAGGTGACGGGTTGGGGCTCCCAGGGACAGAGACCGTCGCCACAGCACACACGCTCCCGTGCACAGTCAGAGTGGACTTTTATTAGGAAATCACCCTGCAAACACACCGAGAAGTGCTGTGCTGTGGGTTCCACGCGTTTCCTGAGGAAGGGGATCACAGTATCGGAGCTGTCAGAGGAACAGGGAGCCTGTGAGTGGGGACTGCTCGGTGCCGCCTGTGGCTAGCACTCCTTCACAGCAGCGTGACTCAGCCATCAAGAACCAGCACACAGACGCAACACGAGAAACACGCCAGAGCACACACATCTGCGCTACACTTAAATAAATAATAAATACAGAATTCCATTTGCTGTTGTCCGTGCCTGAAACAAAAGGAACCAAAGGGGTAAAGAAAACCAAAAAGTCTTTCTTTCCATTGGACCAAGGGAAAAATATCCCTAAATTATCAAAATTCCTCAGTTACAAAATACTTTTTTAAAAATTCCATTATTAAAAGAATAAATAACAAAATATATAAAAAATAACTTGGTTGCATCAAAATTATAAGAAGACTTCTATATATAGAAGTCACAGCAAGATTTTTTTTTTTTGTGGCCTATCTCATAGTCCAATAGTTAATTTTGCTTTGATTTCATTGATTTACCTCTCATGGTGTCCTGGTGTGGGGTCTAGCTGAAATAGTACAAAATTAATAAATAAAAATGTTAAATAAATAGCAAATGTTAACATAAGAGGTTGTGAATATAAATACTTACATCTTGACAAAATTAAATAATTTACAGAATAATTAAACTAACTACTCTTTTATCTCTTTCAGGAAGTGCAATTTCTCTACGTTTAAATACTAACTTGGAATTGTAGTCACAATCGATTTGGACTCTATTTACATGTTAGGAACATTGTGTTTAACACTTTCTATTAAATTTTTTTTTTTTCGTATCTTGAATGGATCTAAAAAGAAGTGAATCTTGGTGGTCTCCGAATTAGGAATTTATCCCCTGACCTTGCTGACACCATCGCCACCTCAGTCAAGCTCGGCCGTGACCCGGGTAATGTGGCAGTGACGGGTCATGGGCAGGGGTGGATGCAGAGAGCCAGAGACCCTGGCCCTGACCCAGACCTGGATCTGACGGCCGCAGCCCCAGAGGGGGCATGACCCCAAGCGGTACAAGTCTCTGCAGGCTTGGGGTGCCAGCTACCCCTAGATGTGTGAGGTGCGCTAATGTGGAACTTCCAGGGGCAGCCCAGGTTAGAGTCCTCAAGTTGGCCGTGGGCTTCAGGTCTATTTCTAACCCTCTGGAACGGTGCTTGCTCCATCCTTAAGACAAAACTGAATTAAATGAAAACAGAAAACACACTTGCCACATTGACCTCACTGAGCAGACGCGCACCCTGGGGCAGGTGCTCCAGGCTGACACTGTCACACGCACCACCCGCCCCGTGCCCACGGCTACCCTCCCAGCCTCGACAGACAAAGGAATACTGTGGTTGCAAACTCCAAAACTTCCCTGAGAACCTTGTCCATGAGCTTCCACTGGAGACTTTGAGCTGCTCTTCAGATTTCTTTCAAAAAACAAAAATAAATCACTTTGTAATACTTCCTGCCTTGCCCTGCGCTCGTGTGGGGAGGTCGAGGCCTCCAGCCTGGCAAGCACAACGGGAAAGACACTGATTTCCAGGCACCCCTTTGGATAAGCCCACCTGAGGCTGCCCTGGGCTGCCAACCAGAAGTCACTGTGAGTCGGGAATCTCCGCTGCGGGGGCAGGGCGAGGGAGGTAAACACTGGAGCCACGTTGGGGTGCCCCAGATGTCCCGATTGGTGGGGTGGCTTCGGGGGTGACGAGGTCTAGACCTGGATGCCCCTCACAGCCCGTTTGATGCTCTCCAGGAGGTCCTTGTTCTCGGGGTTCTGGTAGCACTCCTGGTTGGAGTACATGTCGGTGAGGGTGCTCACGTAGGCATCGAAGTTCTGCTCACATATTGGCTCCTGGAGAACAGAAGCAGGTGAGCAAGGCCCATCCGTGCAATGGGTCCCGTGATTTTCAGAAGCCACAGAAATCTACGGATGAACATTAAACCCATCTCCTCCTGTGCCACCTGACACAAGCCCACACCCACCAGGGGCAACGCTGGCATCCCCGGGCTGAAAAACCATGAGTGCTGTGCTGTGGACTCCTAAGCTGTTCAGGGGAGCCAGAACCACCACGGCCAACAGCCTGCCAGGCACAGCACCTTCCCCAGAGTCCTGGGGGTCAGCCACCAGCTCTGGGGCTTGCCCGCAGGGCCCCATACTGATTACCATGTGCGGAAGGCGGATGTTGGCGAGACTTTGGATGAGGGCTTGGCTGAGGCCCGACAGCTCCAGAAACAGGGCTTCATTCTGCTCCTCGATGAGCTTGTTCTCCTCCTCGATATTCTTCAGGCTCTTCTCCATGGAGGAGATCTGCACCAGACCGAGATGGGAAATGCCTCCTCCTCCCATGGACCACGTCCCTCACATCCTCCTGGGACACACCCGGCATGCTGACTGTGCCACATCTCATGTCTCTCTGGGAGAGGGTGACGAGGCAGGGACCCTGGCCCCTGGATGGAGGAGGGTATGCAGTGACAGGGCCAGGGGCTGTGTGGGGCCACGACTGTCCCTGCCGGGTCAGGAAGGCACCCAGACTCAAAGCGCCCGGGGCTCCAATCCCTGCCCACCACTAGCTGTGTACTTAAGTTGGCCACGTTTTATCGTCCTTGTCTGTAGTAGGAACACTGCATCCACTTTGTGGGGTGTCTGGCCACCTTTGGGTTTTCCCTGCACCAGCAAGACCAACAAAGTGCCCTAATAAAATTGTGGAAGGCAAAGCAGAGCTGGCAACTGCCTCTCCCTCTGCAGCTCGTAGCTGAGCGGAGCCGGCCGGTGACTCCTCCAGCACACCCCGACAGCGACAGCGACAGCAGGGCTGATGGTCACGGGCAGTGCTGCCTGCCCTGAGCGGCTCGAGGCAGCAGGCAGGTGAGTCTCAGGGTCAGGGCAACGCTACGCAGAGGTTCGCAGCCAGCGTGGGGCAGGTGGGAAGCCTGCCCTGGGGCTTGGTGTGGAGAAGACATGCTTGGGAGGCCCTGCCCCAATCTGACTGCATCTCAGGGGAGGCTGGAGGCAGAGGCAAGTCACACGATGTGCGTGGCACACTGAACCATGCCCTAGGTGCAGAAAGGTGAGCTACCTTGAGGAGGCGGTGGATGGGATGGAGTGCTTTCCTCCAACCACGTGGCTGGGAAGCATTGCACTTCTTCACTTGGTAAGAAGTCTTTGGCTTAAAACAGTTTGAGTGGGAGTTAGGGTCTTGCCTACTCTTGCGGAGACTTTCTGCAGAGCACAGGACCCAAAACTCCCTCTAGAGGAGGGTCTGAGACAGTCCAAGAGGATGCTAGTGAATAAAAAGGTGGAAATCAGGGGAAAAAAAAAATCAGAGGTGCTGCCCCAAGGTTACTTTGGGAAGGGAGAGACAGGGTGGCAGTCACACAGTGATGTGTCTCGGCACCCTGAGGTGCCCAACACTCCTCTGCTTCCACTGCCTGTGAACCTGGGGAAACTGCTGCGAGGCAGAATGAAAATCCTTCCTGATCCCTACGGGCTGAAGCTATTTTTATACGGGCTTCCAGAGCACGGGAGGTCAGCATAAAATCTTCTTGGCCAATGGAGGAAGGAACAGAATAACAAGACACGTGGGGCTCCCACATGTAACTCCGCAGCCTCTGGGAAGGGGCCTCACCACCTTCCCATCTGTGCTTTCCGCCCTCAGATCCTGCAGGCCTGGTCACCTCCTTGACCCTCTGTCCCTCCAGCCCTAAGGGACACAGCTATGTGTGGTCATTCCTTCTGTGCCCCTAGCTCTGCTCTGGCCCCTAGCTCAGGACAGCGCTTCTTTGCAAAATAAGACCTTCACTGTATTTCTTTTTTTCTGATGACAAATATTCATTTTGGGGAAATCAGAGAGATACGACACAAACACTTAAAGTAATTTGTAAACCCTATCCCATGGCGAGTGGCTTTTTCTGGGTCAGACATTTTTTCATAGAAATGCATTTATCAGGGACGCCTGGGTGGCTCAGCGGGTTGAGCATCTACCTTCAGCCCAGGCCGTGACCCCAGGGTCCCGGGATCGAGTCCCACATTGGGCTCCCCGCCGGGAGCCTGCTTCTCCCTCTGCCTCTCTCTCTCTCTCTGTCTCTCATGAATAAATAAATAAAATCTTAAAAAAAAAAAAAAAGAAATGCATTCATCCTGCAACAATGTCATGGAGTTGCTTCCTATTATCAGCCCCGTTCTAACCAGTGAGGACATCAAGGTACAGACTGCTCACAGGTTTGCCCGGCCACCAGGCTGCTCTACGGCAGCACTGAGGTCGAATCAGGCTCCGGCCAGGCCCTCAGAACCTGCCCTGTGGGGCTGCTCCTACTGACAGGGCTAGCAGGAAAGCCTGCCAGGGCCCCGATGTGAGCCCCTCAGGACCCCCACTGCCAGAAGTACTACCCAAGCTGGCAGGTGTGACCTGTTCCGAGCGTCCCCGAGTGCTATAGCCATCAGCTCAGCCTGACAGCCCCTTGACAAGGAGCTCAGCTCTCCCGCCTCCCAGAAGAGGAGGCTGAGGACGAGGACCCCCGAGGCTGGAGGGGGGCAGGTAGACACCACCACCCACCTGGGACTGCAGCTGCACCATGGCGGCCTCCATCTCAGAGTTGGACTCGTTCAGGTCGCGAATCTCCTGGTTCAGCTGCTTGATCTCCTCGTCGTTCTCCAACACTGCTCCAGAGAGAAACCTTGGTTGTGGCTCTTGGCCTTACGCCTAGGCCTGCATGCAGGGGTGCAGGGGAGGCCTGTTTTCTAAATGCAACTAGGGACCCTTTCCAAGCAAAGGCAACTGGCCTTACATGGTGGGCAGCTCATATCCCACGTGTCATGCTGGAAAAGTGAGCCTCCAGGCAACCAGGAGTTTGGAGCTGAGGCTGGGAGACCTGTGGGCTCAGGTCAGGGGTCTGTCTCCACCAGGACTCACTCCAGGAGGGGCTCAGCCTCTCTCACCCCTACTACCAGGACGGCTCACTCTCCCAGGTCACAGAGATCACTTGGAGGAACTGCAGGAGGGACACCTTACCATCACTTGTCTTGAACTTGGTGCTGAGAACCTCATCCCCTGAGACTTTTCCCTTCTTTCCAGCAAAGGTTGCTCTGGGACAGCCAGATAAGCTGGAAGCAAAGGTCACACACAAAAAAACAGCACAAGGTCACACACGCAGGGCCAATCCAAGATGATACATCGCAGCGAAAGCCAATCCTTGCTGGCCTGCGGCCTGGTAGGATCCTGGTTTGGGACTTTCTCATGCATCTCCTTTTGTCCTCCCGCTCGCTGGCTCTGGCCCCCAAGCTGTCCACCCCCTTACTCAGCAGCCTGACCCTTCCAGCTCAGGACACTGCCCTAAAGGCTCGTTCTCAGGCCTTCCTCACTGCTCTCCCCACAGCATCTGCCCTTTGGCCGTGCCAGGTACCTCGCTCACATGTTTGCTTATAGTCTGTGCCCCAGCCACCAGGCCCAGAGCAACTCTCGTTCTCTGCTCTGTCTCCTGAGCCTGGTATGTGGCGGCCTTTCAGTAAAAGCTTGTGGAATCACTAGCTCATCAATCTTGTAGGTGGAGACGGGGGCAGAACAAAAGAAAGACAAGGAACGTTTCTGAAGGGCTGTGTGATGACTCCCTGCACCTCAGGAGGAGAACGGGGGGCCCACGGCCCCCCGGCCCTGGGCCAAGTATCGGGGGCAAGCAAGCGCCCTGGCGGGAGGGGCAGGGCACGAGGTACGACAAAGCTTTCCGTGAGAAGCCTGCAGCCTGTGTCAAGAACACACTCAGGGGGATCCCTGGGTGGCGCAGCGGTTTGGCGCCTGCCTTTGGCCCTGGGCGTGATCCTGGAGACTAGGGATCAAATCCCACGTCGGGCTCCCTGCATGAAGCCTGCTTCTCCCTCTGTCTGTGTCTCTGCCTCTCTCTCTCTCTCTCTCTGTGACTATCATGAATAAATAAATAAAGTTAAAAAAATTAAAAAAAAAAGAACACACTCAGGGCTCCACTGGCTCTTGCTGCAGGGACTACACTGTGGAGGGGGCCTCACGACAGCAGCCACGTGCAGGGCCACATGTCGCAAACACCGGGACCTGGGACCCACCATTGTCTGTGGCTTGCCTGGGCTGGGCCCCCTCTCCCTCGGAGAACTAGCGGCTGCCGCGGAGCCCTCGCGGCCCTTCCTGCCCAGCGCGGCCGCACGCCGGAGCACCCCAGAGCACGGCAGGACCCCTACCTCCTGTGGGTGAGGAAGCTGCCGTTGGCGTGGCCGGAGCCGTCACAGCCCGGGGTGGGACAGGTGGGCCCCTCATTCTTCAGCGATTTCCAGGAAAAGGGTGAGCCGTTAAGCGAGCCCTCTTTCTGCCGCCGAGCGGCCAGTGGGCAGCCAGATGCGCTTCTGTGTGAAGCGTATTTGCCGCTGATGTGACCGAGCCCCACGCAGCCTGGAACAGGGCACCTGGTGCAGAGGACAGAGGTGAGCACAGGCACTGAAGCCCGCAGACGCCCGCAGTCCCGACGCGGACGCGCCCGCTGTCACAGAGATTCCCGACGCCCCAGGGCAGACCTGCGGCCTTCCCAACCACGAGGGGGGCAGCAGGGATCACGGGCGCCTCCCGCCTCAGCCTTGTGCCTCCTGTGCTGCCGGAAGGTCAGCAGCTGCCGTCTGTCCCCTCCCCTCGGGAGCCACGATGTCCCTGGGCCCCGGGAAACTCTCCGGGACCTCTGGGGCCACAGCTGGACCTTGCTGCCGCATCACTTCTCCATCACCCCGCGACGAGGAGTGAAACCACCCAGGGGCCACTCCCTGGGAGACTGCTCCAAGCACAGTGTCTGGGGGCCCTGGGGTCACAGAAGGTCACAAGGGCACCCGAAGCCAGGCAGTGTGATGCAGCTGGGGCCGCTGCTGCTCCCCAGCAGGTGAGGAGACAGGGCCTCCCCGCCCAGAGAGGCCCCCACACCGGACGCACGTCCAGGGTGGCCAATGCAGACTCTCCCCAGCCTCCTTGGCCTGGACACCTCTTATACCCATCCCCTCTCTTCTTTATCCTTCCGTGTGGGCCTCAGACTTGTAGGATGGCCCAAGGTCATCCTGGCAATCAGTCCGGAGTGGAGATAGGGCGGCAGGTCCTGCAAGGAGCTCGGGCAGGTTCCACTCTCTGTCTGCCCCTCACACCTGGGCACCTCTCAGCTGTGGGTGCCCAGGGGACGCCGGGGCCAGGTACTCGGAAGCACCTCTGAGCACCCAGCATCACAAGATCAAAAGACCAAATGAGAGGCAGCTCTTCGTGGTTAAAACACACAGTTAAATCTGAATTCATTTTACTCGTGTTCTTTGCAAAACCCTAACTCTTCTTCTCATTAGGATTGATTCCTGGGAATTAATTCATACTGGGTATTTCAGACATGTGGACAGTAACACTGCTTCTCTTTCCCTCCACATGCCTCCAGGGTCCGAATCGTCAGAGCTGTCAGGTGACCTCACGTTACGGTGTGTGTGGGGCGCCAGATCAGGCCGCTTCCGTACGGCCCAGGTAAGTGGGTGGTGGGGCCTGTGACCCCAAGGGCAGAGGCGCATCTCTTCTGTCGGACGCCGGGGTGGCGGGGACAGCAGTGGGGGTGGGGCACCCTGCACAGGTGATGGGCCTTGAGCAGCTCCTGACCCCCACGCTGGAACATCCACGGATTTTATGGCCAGTTATTCAGTTTGGCCGAAGGGATTTACCACAATGTGCTGACGTGACTTAATCTCAAACGGCGCGTACACAAGATGTCCTAAAAGGGATCTCTTCTGCCACCAGCCCTCCACATCCCAGCTAGCACGTGCTCACGAAATCCCGTCACACAACAGGACCTGGTGCACCGATTAAAGCTTCTGCTGTGGTCTGCACTTGTTTCAAGATGACAGGCAATTATCAATACAGTGAAAGTTTATGGGGGCGGAGGAGGCCCTATAAAACGGAGGCACTGAATGCCCCCCGCCTCCCCGCCTGCCCGCCGGCTTGCCATGGAGCTAGTAGGAACTTCATCCATCCTGTAAATGCTGACCTGCTTCTAAGTCATATTCTCCACTTGGCTGCAAAATCTTATTTTTTAAAAAGCAAAGTTGACAGCACACTAGGAGGAGGAAAACCATTCTTCCCAGTTAACTTAAAAAGTGCTGATCTTGATTTTAATCATTTGCAAATGCAGCACAATTCACTTATCGTATCCCTGCAGCAGGATCCTTGCTAAATCCATAGCAGCTTGCATTTATACGATCACAGGCAAATTCCTGGCTTCTCAGAAGGATAAATACTCTTCATCTGTCCTCGCATTTATTGGGCTACGTCTATGACACCAACATCCATATATTTTGGGTTTTGATTTAGCAATCATTATAGTTTTATTGTAAAAATTTAATAAATGAGCCACAGCCTTTTTACACCAAACAGCTGGTGGGGCTGGCCCCCTGAAGGATGTGATGCTGGCCCATCAGGCCTCTCTTCTGTGGCCAAGCAGATGTTTGCATGCAGCTGGGGTGAGCTCCAAGGAGCTACAGACCCTTGGTCCAGATTGATCCCCTCTGCTGGGTGAGCATCCAGCTATTCTTGGCCCACGGCAACCAATCAGAGCAGACCTGCCTTCTGGGGACCTGGCCCTGACCATGACAGCCTCAAGGCCTGCACCACGACGCAGCCAGAACAGGTCCTTCCAGTCCTCAACTGGCAAGGGGACCTGCTGCTTTGTCCACTGTCAGCTCTGAAAGTCCTGGGAAAGTTGAATGGTGGTTCACTCTGTTTCCCCCTGTGGACCAGCCTCGCCCCTACGGGCAAGCGGGGGACTCAGGGCACTCCCAGTACCAAGTGGGGCATTCACAGGGTCAGCATTCACACACAATCCCCCTGATGACACACTAGGCACCCCCGAGAGATGGTTGGGAGTGGGTCTCAAGGACTTAGATCCCGTAAGGCCCCCTCCCCACAGCAGTGTCGAGGTCCCAGTTCAGGGCGACGCTCTGGAGCTCCCTCTTTCCATATCAGCTCTCTGCAGACATATGTGAGTGTGCAGACACACACGATTCAGAGTGGCCGTCTTTCTAACCATCCTGTGCTCCTCGACTCCGGCACCTGACCTTCCTCGTCAGACCACAGCTGTGCAGGTTTCCCGCGGGGCTGCTCCAGGCCCGAGCCCACACCAGGTGGCCCCCCAGGAGCACGGGCAGCAGGGCTCTTGGCCTCTCCTGGCCCCATCAAACACCACCAGACCTGAGAAGCCCAGACAGGAGCCAGTGCCCAGGCGTGACCTCAATACAACACACACGGCTCACAGCTTCATAGGTGTCCACGTGCACAGCAGGAGAACCTCTGTAAAAATGGGCATTGCCATGGACCAGCTGTATTAATGAAAAAGGAGTCTAGGAGCTTTTTTAAAATTATAACATACAGGAAAATCCCAATTCTGCAAACCCCCAAGGGAGTCAGCAAGACCTCAACTTACTTCATCAGCTCAGGATCTTCCTTATCATCCTTTGTGGGTGTCACCCTGGCTCCACTTTTCTTGGCACGAGGGCAGCCTGACAAGCTAGTTTTGAAAAAGAAGAAAAGCCACGGCTGTCCCAGAATGACCACTTCTTACCCACTTCTGCCCCAGCCCTCCCTCCAGCTGTGTGATCAGCAGTGCCTGGGGTGTCCCAAGGAGCTTCTGTCGTCGAGCAGAGTGGGGGCAGAGGGGCCTCGGCGGCAGGTGTTGCCATGAGCCCCTGGTTCTGGCTGCAGAAGGCGACCTGATCGGGTGTCGGGGACACCAATCAGATTACAGACATGAAAGAGGCTCTAGCTGCCCCAACATCAATGTCTGACTTGGAGCACGGCAGCTTCATCTGCGCAAGAGGCCCGCCCTCCCCCGCCCGGCTGGGCACCTCGGGGCACCGCAGGCTCACCTTCTGTGGGAGGCGTAGTTCCCCGTTATATGGCCAGAGCCGTCACAGCCGGGCGTGGGGCACCTGTGGAAGACAGTGGAGCTGGAGCCAGAGCCAGTGAAGACACTTGACCACAGGAGCCCCTCTGTGCCCAGCCCCCATGCGGGCCCACCGGCCCCCCTAGCACTGGTCTCTCAAAGGCGTGCACGTCCTGGTCAGCCTGCTTCCATGACGCTGGGCCTTCAGAACTCCGCCACCTGGTCTCCCTACAGGGTCCAAGAAGCCAAGACAAGAGCACATCTCCAGTGCAGGAATGATGGGCTCCCATTTTTGGCCTTCTACAAGGTTCTAGACTGGACTAGAAGGTTCCAGAACACATATGGGCCTTGAAACAGCATTCAGAAAGGCAAACCTAACACCTAAGACGGGTTCATTTTCCCTGACATGACCGGGAGGAAGAGCGCTGTTTTCTGGGAGGGGTCCATCATCTGAGGGAATGAACAGACGATTACTGAGCGCCTGGGACACATCATCCACAGCGCTGGGCACCTAGAGGTGCAATTCGCACAACCAGAGGCTCCTCAGGGGTGGTGGGCCCTGGCCGAGGGTTATGATGGGAGACACAAAACCCAGAAGCCCACCTGATGCATCCAAAATGTTTGACAAACATCATGTAGAAGGTAAAAACTACGCTTTGATATACAAGTATGGGTTTTCTTAAATGACTCTTCCTGAACGTCCATGATGGAAGAGTGAGTGAGTTCCTGCTGGTGTCAGAGCGGGGAGGTGTGCGTGAATGTGCAGGTGGGTCCCTGTGCAACCCGGCAGGACCTTGGGGCTCACATCTGGAATCTCACAGAATATTTATCTGCCATTTCTGGCTTCATCCTCTCGCAGAGAAGAAACCGTGGAAGCTGAGGCTCTTTCTCAATAGAAAAGTGGCCCCAGGAAGGTCAAGGGGACTCACATCAGCTATAACAGGACAAAATCAACAGAGTTCTCTGTGCCCAAGGCCCTTCCTCAGCATCCTCTTCCCCTGGCAAATGCAGCCTCTGGCGTTTGGAGCAAGGCTGAGGAAGCTGGCGCAGCCAAAGGACTCCCCACAGCTTTCGGGCCGCCCCCCCAGAGCTCAGCAGGCCAACACTGCCTATTTCTCATCCAAGGAAGCATAAAGCTGGCACGGCAACCTGGAGGCGTCAACGCCCATCCCTCCAGCTCCTTCTCCAGTCCCGTGGTCTTTCTCGAGCACCTTCTTGATCCCCGTCCTGTGAGCCACACATGGGGATGCCTCCTGGGTCTGCCGGCAGGCCCACTGGGCAATTCACCCTCCCGTTGGATTTGGGGGTAACTCAAACCCTAAGAGGTTATGACGGCTCCTGCTCTGGGAATGTGTGGTCACATTTCAACCCACATACATTCATGGCAAGGAGGTTTTTGCATTTTAATAGAAACCACACACCGCCTCCATCTACGTGGGCTTCACCCTTTCAAACAAACCCCAACCAGGGCAAGGCTCCTGCTGGGACATTTCATGCATCATCCAAGGTCCCAGGGGCAAGCCTGCTGCAGACACCGGGTCTCGCAGGCAGGAGGGGCATGCCTGCCCCCCAGCTCCAAGTGCCCTGCAGGCACTCTCACGGCCCGTCCCCACAGCAGCCCCTTCCTGCTCTCTTGGGAGGCCAAGTGCAAAGAGTAAGGGTAGTGCTTCTCCTTCCAGGGTTTGCAGCTGCTCGGGTGGCTGCCTGTGGCTCCACTCCTTCTCAGCTTTGGGCAAATGTGCCAGAACCCAGGCCCACCACTCTAGGTGGTGGTCAGGGCAGCATGGCCCCACAGTGGTCTCGGGCCTCAATGCCCACGAGCGCAGGTTGGACTCTGGTGCAACCCCAGTGGCACCTGTGAGTACGGCTGGCAGGGAGTGCATGCACACGGGGATGGTCCTGCCAGGCCCCAGCACAAGCGGGACTGGCGTCCCCACGGGGCCCACTGAGGCACAGCTTCTCCGGGCAGGTGGGGCCACCTGCACTCCTTGCCAAGGCCCAATCAATGGCTTTTCCTAAAAGTCGTATCCCATAGAGGATGATGTTCATGTGGCTGGAGAAGCAGGTGTCCATGTTGGGCGCTGGCACTGGCCACCACTCTCGTGCCCCTGAGTACCCACAGGGTTGGTGGCAGGAACCCTCCCACCATCTGCTCCTGAGGGCATTGTCTGGGCAAGAGGGGGAATCCTGTGTCTGAGGGACACATGACAGCTTGAGGGCGCGCACCAGGTCTCACCTCCAAGCCCCATCCCGCCATTCCTGTCCTGTGTCGGGGAGGCATCTCCCACCCTGTCGAGCCCCCATCACAGCCTTGCAGGGTGTGTGGCTGCACCTCAACTCCCCACACACAGAGTGGGCTGAGCAGCCCAAGGCAGCTGCATCACCAGCCCCTGATCACACTGGACACTTGGCAGGGAAGAGCAGATGTCCTTGGGATTCGATTAAACACAGAAAGCACATCATCTGAGACTGTCACCGCAGCCAGGTGTTGGGAGGGAGGCCACCGGAAGAGTCTGATTTGCAAAGCAGTGATGTAGGTGCCTTTTCCTCTCTGGGGACAGGTCACCTATCGCTGCCACAGGTGGGTTGGGAGCAGCCTGTACGAGAGGCCCACTGGACGGGAGGAGAGAAAGGAGAGCGAAGCATCCGCACACCAGGAACCTGGTGGAGCCCGGCCCGCATCCAGCACAAGCCCACGCTGTGCCCACGAGAACCAGGAGCTGACTCCCACAAAAGACCTCTGGGGCCAGAGGGGAGCCTGGGAGCAGCCGGGGCACCTTCCCAGGTCTGTCTGAACCTGAGGAGTGACTTGTTTTCACACAAGGAAGACTTTCTGTTGCTATTTCTAAACAAGCTTGGGTTAAAGTTCCTCACAGGTTCTTAGTCCTAGACGAGCACTAACCCTCCCGACAGCCGCGTTTCCAGGCCCAGGCCAGGCCCACGGCGTCGTTCCAACAGGGCCCGAGCACCTGCTCTGCAGGAAGAAAGGCCCACTGCACGCATCTGGTCACTCGCGCAGCTCCAAAATCATTCAGGCCCTCAAACTGGAAAACCGTGAAAACTAAGCATAGTGAAAACGCAAGTGGAACTGGAAAAGGAAATAGGGAAAAGGAACATGGGAAAGACGTTAAGAGAAGAGAGGAAGGAGAGGGAGAGGAGGTGCGGGAAGGGGTCCTGAGCCTGCAGGACGGATGGTCCCAACTAGATTTCTGCAGCTGGACACAGCGAGGGGATGAGTCAACGTGCGCATCCGCCGTGGTCAGCTGAGCCACAGAAAATGCCGAGTCTTAGAAAGACATTTCTGGCGGTGAAGCCGCCCAGACGGAAGGCCCCCTTGATGACAACAGGCAATGACATGCCTCTGGCTGCCAGGACCAAAGCAGCCTCCCCAGAGTGACAAGGAGGAAGCTGGCAGGATGGGGGGACTCCAGGCATCTAGAGCTTTCTTCTCTCTTTCTAAATCAGCTCAGGCCCCTTGGGAGCCTTTGGCAGCAACAGCTCCTCCTCTTAGAGGCTCCAGGACCTCGGCTCCCATCTGGCCCCAGAACGGAATGAGCCTAGATTCAGGGGCGCCCAATATGGAGGCCCAAGGTTCGAGATGAACACCCCCGGAGGGGGAGTGACCTGAGATGACAAGAGGAAGACCCTCTTCCCGAGCCCAGGGCAGCACTGCACGGCGGCGATGTCACAGCTCAACTGAAGGCGCAAAACCCAAAGGCAATGGCAGTCCCCAGATCTCGCCCCGAGAGGACACTGATACCCTGGGAAACTGCTGGGCGCTCGCGTCACATTTGAGCGGGGCTGTTGAGCAGGGTAATTGGTGCCCACAGAGCCTGGGCTGCCGTGTGTGAGGGACAGGGAGGAGCAGCAGAAAGAGGGGTGCTCAGCAAAGAGAGGGATGAGCAGGCAGCTCCGGGGGGACCCGCAGGGACCAGACAGATGCAGCAGCGGAGGGCACGGGAGGAGGGAAGGGCAGAGAGTTTCCTCATTCACCGCCAGCACCCAGGTGCCCTAGCCAGAGCCGCGCAGCCCGAAGCCCCCGAGCCGCAGCGAGACGTAGAAGCCAAGGCCAGCGCGGGCCGCTCGCACATCTCCAGGGCGGAGGCGCCAGCAGGCCCAGACCCTGTGCCGGGTCCTCGGGAGAGGGAGAGGTGGGCCGGGCCATCGGGAGCCAGAGGCGGCGAGCCCTGCCCCCGGACGCCCCCCGGAGGCCCCCCGGCCCTCGGTCCCCAGAGGCTGGCAGCAAGGGACAGGCAGAGAGCGGCACTCAGAGCAGAGAGAGGCGGCAGCAGCCCCAGGCAAGCAAGTCGGCCCCCGTGGCCTGTCTCTCGGCCCCATCCTGCTGGCAGGGGCTGCCCGGGGCCGGAGCCCTGAGAAGGCCAATGGGGCTGGAGCTTCCCGGCAGGAGAGCAGAGCAAGGGGCGCCCAAGAGATGGTAGGCCAGGAGGGCAGACATACTTGAGGTCAGCAGAATGGGCAGCCATGAGGTTTCTGAGGCTCTTGTCAGCAAGAGGGCAACCAGAGAGGCTGAAAGAGAAGAGATGGGACATTGGGGTGAGCCAGAGGGGGAGCAGAGGAGGACAGGGAAGACCCACCACACAGCACCCAGGCCAGCTGGACCCGAGCAGGGACAAACCTGCGGTGAGAGGCATAGTTCCCGGTGATGTGGCCGCTGCCGTCACAGCCGGGGGTGGGGCAGCTGAACGGAGGAAAAAGAGCGTCAGAACACAGAGCGGGGCGCACCTGCCAGGCCTGCCCCCCCGGAGGGCGCGGACTCTGGCTCCGGCTCTCCTGGAGCCGAGGGCCACCCGCCCCCGGGCCTCAGAGCGCAGAGCAGCCCTCGCCACTCGACTGCGAGCTTCTCCCACACGACTGGACTCAAGGAGGAGAAAGGAGTCAGAGTACGGCTCAGCTTGAAGCCGCGATGGCCCTGGAGCGCACGCGCCTGCACGCACGCACTCGGGGCGCACCCGTGAGCACGGCGGCATGACCCGACCTGAGGACGCGGCCGGGACTCAGCCCGGGCAGAGCCAGCGGGGGGACGGAGCTAGCCCGGTCCACGGCAAGGAGGCAGGAACCCCGGGGGCCGACAGAGCGGGGGCAAGGCCCGGGCCCCGGCGGCACCGCTGCAGGGACAGCCCCCACCGGCCCCGGCGCCGTGCTCTCAGTGGGGGTGGCCTCCATCCCGGGGACCAGTCGCGGCCACCAGCGGCTTGCCCACCCTGCCGCCCGGTGGGCCAGGGCCGAGGGCACCAAGTCCCAGCAGAGCACCCGTCAGGCCTGGGCTCTGAAAGCCACGGCGGAGCTGAGGCTGGGAGAGGCCGGCTGCCCTCCGCGCCCGCCCTGCCCGTGGGCCTGGGCAGGGGCTTCCCTCGCTCCCGGCATGGCGGGAGCTTGGGTCAGATTCCGGGCGCGAACCCTGTCAGCTGTCGCCTGGCTCGAGGGGGTTGTGGTACAGGACGTCCAACGTCTGCCCGGCAAGCGATGAGGCCGGGAGAAGGGGCAGAGCCAGGCTGGGGGGACAGGACCCAGGACGGAGCAGGCCCGGACCCCGGGCTCAGAGTGGGCGGACTCCAGGGTTCTCCTGGCCCGGCGGGGACTTACGTGAGCAGCTCCTTCTTTATGTCCTTGGAGAGGAACTTCATCTTAAAGTTGGTCAGGGTAACTTCCCCGGGGTACTTCCGCTCCTCAAAACTCTCTTCCGACACTTCCTGGTCATCTGCTTCAGAAGAAGCAAAAGAATGGGCTGCTGGCTCTGACTGCAAAAAACCAGCAGGGAGACGTTTTAACCAGCTGGCGGGGGGGCCGGGTGCCCGACCCGGGGCTGAGGGAGAGGGACCCTTGAGAGCAGGGTTCACAGAGGTGGTTTCTGGAGTGTCCTGCCTCCGGGACGACGGAGGAGGACAGTACCCCCGCGGGGCTAGCGTGCTCCCCGACCTCGGCCAGAGCTCCTCCGCGGCCCCCATGTGGAGGAGACCAGGCCGCTGCCTCCCGTGGCCCCGGGCGTGCAGGTCGCCTCTACCGACGCCCCGGGGCCACCTCCTACACACAGGAAGCCACACGAAGTGCAGCCCCTCCAGTGCCCGCTGTTCGTGGAGCAGCTACGGCAGGGAGAGCACAACGCGAGCGGGGACACGCACCGACCAGGCACGCGGTTCCTAAGCTGCGGTTCTAGGTCGGGAGAGGATTGGCAGCCCCCAGACAGCAGGGCCCCGGGGCGTGGAGCCCAGTTCCCCCGAAGCAGCCCCCAGACAGCAGGGCTCCCGTGGAGGGGAGCCCAGTTCCCCCGAAGGCCCAGCAGCTCAGCACCCCCAGGTGGGTCTGGAGCAGAGGCAGCTGAGCCACAGGCCAGTCCAACCCCCCCCACCCCCCCCCCCCCCCCCCCCCCCCCCCCGCCATGGGCGTGGGCGTGTCCAGCCCCTCAGGGCCCAGACGGTGCGCTTTCCAGCTTAAGGTCATCGCAGCCCCTTTCAGGCTTTCTGGGAAGGCAAAGTGCAGAGCCCGGCGGGGTGAGGGCTCTCAGGACCCACAGGAATCCTGTCAACGCCACGGGCGTCGCTCTGGCTGCCGCTGACGCTACTACTGGCCAAGGCGCAGGGGACGTAGCTCGTTCCCCTGAGCAACATGGGCTTCAGCGGGGTCTTCAGGTCAGATGGCAGCTTCCCAGAGAGGGAACGCATCCCAGAGGCCCCGGACACCGTCCTGGCAGCCGCCAGAGCTGGGGCGGGAGGTGAGGCTGAGGGCAGGGGCACAGCCTCACACAGGATGGATCACGCAGAGCTGGAGAGTCTGAGTCAGGAGTCCAGGGCCGTGGTCGAGGGACCAGGCAGGCCTGAGGCAGGAGCATGTCTGAGCTGACCCACCCGTGCCCAGAGGGGGCTGGAGTGAGCTGAGGCTCCAGGATGTGGAGCGACTGTGGGGTGGGGCTGGGGGCAGTCTTTGGTGGGCAAGGACCTCAGGGCCTCTGAGACTGATGACATGAGTTCTGGGGTGCTCAGAGGGTGTGCGAAGGGAGAGGGGGATGGACAAGGCAGCCGGGGATGCCAGCCTGAGCCAGGGGTCATGGGTAGGGCCAGGGAGGGGCCGCAGACAGCGGGAAGGGGGCTCTGACCCGGGGCAGGACCGGAACACAGTAAGAGCAGACTGGCCTGGTGGCCTCCACATAGGAGGGCCCAACCTGGCCTGACCCTGGGCTTCTGCTGACCGGCGGGAAGACCACCCACACAGCCCCAGGGGCATGTCCCAGGCCAGCCCTCTCCCCTCAGGGCTGAACCTGACAGGTGCCCCTCTTCTGGGGTCTGACACCAAGTCTCTGCTATATAAATGAGCCAAGTGACCCCAGCATGGGGCCCAGTCTGCTCCTCCATGAAGCAGAGACACCTGTGAGGGGTGTATAGGGAGCCTGGGGTACGGAGGAAGGACTGAGCTGCAGGAGCCGCGGCTCCCAGACAGGAATCCTCCCTGGGGCCTGCCCCCTGCCCTTCAAGAGTTGGTTGGGGTGCCGGCAGGGATGGCGGGGAGAAAGGGGGGACCTGCAGGCCTGCCCCCAGTGAGGCCCTGGGTGCCTGCTCCAGGGCGGCTACCTGGAGTCTGTGCCATTCCCACAGCTGCGCTTTGCTACTCAGGACTCGCACCTCTTTGGGGAAGAGCCTTCCATCAGTTCCACTCTCAAGAGAGGGACACGATTAGGAAGGGATGTCCCCTGTCCCCAGACTGCGACTCCAGCACGGATGCCTGGCTTGTTGCGCGTCACCAGGCGGCGCTGGTCTTGGGACTCAGGCCACTGCCCAGTGCGGCGGCTCCCGAGCCCCGGAGACTCCCCCTGCCTCTGTCCAAGGAGCCAGGTGGCCAGGGTGTCCTGCGGATGGCGAGGAGGGCCTCCTGCCAGAACTCAGGGTGTCCCCATCTGCACAGCAGGTTGGGGGGAGGCCACAAAACCAAGGAATTGGGAGCCATTCCCAAGTATCTCCCCTGGGACGTGAAAGAAGCCCTCCTCCTCCCCAGGCTTTCCAAGGGCCCACGGTGGTGCTGAGCGTGCGTCCGTCGAGGTGAGGAGACCACCTCTCTCCTGGTTGGGACAAGACCACAGCATGGCCCAGAGGTGGGAGATCCTCCAAGAGAGCAGGCCGGGTCCTAGCTTCCTAGCGGCAGCAAGGCCCCGTGTGGCTAGGGACAGGACCCCGGAAGCTCTTCCTGGAGACGTGAGTACTTTCTACAGCAGCCCCCGGCCCCACACCCACCTCCTCGGGTTCCTCTTCTCGTTGGCGACTGGGCTTGGTATAGTCCAGAGGTCGATCCCACTCATCCTGGCGGGAAGCCTGGCTGGACTGGGGCGAGGTCATGGAGCTGCTGGGGGCGCTGGTGCTGCTCTGGCGCTGGGAGGCCTCGGGCGACTTGACACCAGGGCTGCTGCTGCTGCTGCTGCTGCTGGGGAAAGCGCTTTCTCGTTTGCGGTGTTTATGCATGCTCAAGTCCAGGGTTCCGTTTTCATCCACCTCTATGTCCGCAGCCTGCAATTGTGAGGGTGAAATCCACGCGAGTGATTTCACCCCTTCACGTGTGCCTTCCGGTACTAAATCAGCATTACAGAAGGCCCGAAACGGTCTCCCTTGGAAGGAAGCAGAGCCAAACAAGAAGAGGAGAGCTCTGAGAAGCAAGGATCTTGACTTGCCACTTCCCGAAATTCATGAGGAGGAACCTCCACCCTCTCGCGGGTCTTGCCGACCTCACAAAAGCAGACCCTTGAGAGGCAGTGACCATGATCACATGGGACATGTGCTCGACCCGCAGACTCAGGGGAACATACGGAACGTGTGTGCGTGACCCTCAGCCTTAGGGGAACTTACGGGAACGTGTGTGCGTGACCCTCAGACTTAGGGGAACTTATGGGAACGTGTATGGGTGACCCTCAGACTTAGGGGAACTTACGGGAACGTGTATGGGTGACCCTCAGACAGGGACACAAGGTCACGTGTGTGCACGACCCTCCGGCTCCAGGGAACAGGAGGGAAGGTGCCTGTGCACAGGTACTTGGTGCTCCACAGCACACAGCTCTCGGAGTGGAGATGATAACTATCAAGTGGACCCAGGTGTCCCTAAGCACATTTCCTGTGGGGGCATGTGGGCCTGACTGGGAACCTCCCCAGCCCGTCTCCGCCTCGGAGGGGTTCCTTGCAGGGACACACCAACCTTGCTGGGCAGGTCCTGTGGCTTCGTGCTGAGGTTCTCGGGCATTTCCCAGCAGCGCGTGGAGAGGTTCAGGATGGCTGTGGCGGCCATGTGCGCGGCCTCGGCATCGTGCGCGTAGTCAAAGCCTGCAGAAGAGGATGAAGTGCACGGGCTGTGCCTGGGGGAAGAGGCCTTTGGGAAAGGTTTGGCTGCAAAAAGGGAACAACACCAGGCGGATATGCAACTTGAATGGGAGGTGGCCACACAGACCCAGTGGCGAACCCTGGGATGGCTGGGAGTACGCGGGCACAGCCATGGGGTGGGCGTGGGGGGCCGTCCACCGCGTCCCAGGTGCCCACGGCACACTCCTACCCACCCTCTAGGAGGGCATTCGGGGGGCCATTTCCGGCTCTTCTAAAATTTGGACAGAGAGAGCAAAACCCTGCAAAGACGTGCCAGCGTCTCTGACGTAGCAACAAATGCAAACTGGCTACGGGGACGTCCGGGTGGCTCAGTGGTTTAGCGCCGCCTTCAGCCCAGGGCGTGATCCTGGAGTCCCGGGATCGAGTCCCGCATCGGGCTCCCTGCATGGAGCCTGCTTCTCCCTCTGCCTGTGTCTATGTCTCTGCCTCTCTCTGTGTGTCTCTCATGAATAAATAAATAAAATATTTTAAAAAAACTGGCTACGGGGCATGCTTACTGGGAGTAAAGAATTCTGTAAACAGGAATGGATAGAATGTCATTCAAGCAGGAACATTTTTGCCACAACATCTTGGTGTCGCCATGATCCCACTTCAGTGCCGTAATGTTATTATTCAAACAAACACGACCAAGAGGGCATAAAATGCTATCTTTTCTGGTACTTCTACTGTGGTCATGAAGTAACTCTCAGGGATGACATTCCTGATATCACGGTCCCGCCAGGAAATCCAGATCTACGAAGGCTCCTTCTGAGTGCTACGTGGTGCCCGTGCGTAAGGACACCCAAGGCAGCGGGACAGATGTCCACGCCGTAGCTGGCAGCTGCATCACCCGCGTTCCTATTATTAACAGACAGGAACTCCCCACTGCCGTCTCAGGGCCAGACACCCACTGGGAGATGCCTGTTCCAACCTCAAGTGCACAGGGGGGTGCTTTTCCATTTCATATGTGTTCCCAGGCCAACGGGCTGGCAACCCACAGACGGGTACATTAGTGACCAAAAAAGACAGGAAGGGTTATTCTCAAAATTTGTAGGAATGCATTTTGTTAGTACAAGCGCCCAGGAAACTTGTGGCTACTATCGTGGTCCCCTTGCCGGAGGGCAAATAGCTCCTGTCGGGGCACCCAGGCTGAGCATCGTGGCTGCCCAAGCCTCCGCAGGGCGGACCACATCGAGGCAGTTATTCCTAAGCCTTTGGACATGCACACCGTAAAGGACTTAGGTTTTGTTTCACGGACACATCAGACTTGATGGGGAACATGACGGCAGTGACGTGGGCAAGACACAAACTCCGGGAAAGCCACCACGGTAGACACTGACACGGCCATGTGCCCCCAGGGGAGAGATACCCTGCACACTGTTGGCGAGGGGGTCCCTCCTCCCCGTCTCTCAAACCCTATACCTTTCAGGAGTGAAGCTCCCCAACTTACATTTAAAGGCTTTAGGTGAGGTTTCGCTGGTCTGAATCTTTGGGGCAAGCATGCGTTTGCCAAAAACCTGAGCGTCAAAACTTGCGTAGTCAAAGGTGACCTTGGAGAACTTCTCCAGCTCCTTGGCCAGGTTGGCCCTGGGTGTGGCAGGGGCCACACTAGGCCGGTAGCTTCCATACGGAGGAACCTCAAGCTGCTTCACGAAGCACATAGGCCTGAGGTAGAGGACACAGGTGCAAAACCATGAGGACAGGGCCCGGGGACCCACGGCCCTTCCCACAGCCTGGGCAGAAACCCCTCGGAGCCCCACGTGCACAGAGACCCTCCCCCAGGACCCACCACTGAAGGGTAGCTGGGGCCTGATCCACAGGAGGAAGAGCTGCTGCAGGGAGGGAGCAACGGGAGCGCTGAGGACAAGATGGCCTGTGTCCTTGCAGACAGCGCTAGCCAGAGGACGGAGGGCCTGAGACTCTGCCCCAGAGCTTAGGAGAGCAGGCCCCAACACCTCCGCTACTAGTAGAATGAGCCCTTGGTGGGCAACCCTGCAGGAGCGTCTCTGGGACAGGGGCCAGCCGCCCCAGACAGCACTCTCCTGATGGAATGACACTACTCCCCGGGGGGAGGGAGGTGGGGCATCCAGAGGGGACACGGGTGTGCTTCTGAGAACCAGGTTTCGGGAGGACCCGACTCAGCTCTTCCCTGGCCAGGGGTTCAGCCCTCTGCTCTTCTCGGCTTGAGGTCAATTGAGAGGAGCCCTGGAGGGGCCGAAACGGTTGAAGGCACTACAGGCATTCAGTTCGCTGTCACGGGAGCCCTTAGAAGAGCTCCGTGTTTTAAATGCACAAGAGGGTAGCGGAAGGACAGCAGCCCAGGCAGCACAGGAGCCAGGGGGGGAAGACCAGCCAGGTGGGGAATGGCCGCCGCACAAGGTGTGCTGGTCAGCTCAGAGAGAAGGGGAAAGGAGAGGCTGGGAGGCCCCTCTGCACCCCAGCTCTGCTTGCTCTTGACTCTGAGCCCAGCAATGACTGAAATCTAAAAAGAACGGGTCCCTGGAATTAAGAAGGGGTCGGCAGTGAGGTCTCCAAGGTGCTGAGTGCTATAAGATCTTGCGTGTGGCCCCAAAACAGGAGCCCGGTGACGGAAAGACCCTGCAACCATGAGGAGATCAGCTCTGAGCCTGGACCTTGGAGAAGCAGATCCCCCCAAACATGGGCACATGCTCCTTCCCCAAGGAGGCCTGGAGGGCCTAGCAGCATTGGAAGACGTTTCTGGGGAGTGCTTGGTTCCCAGGGGAGAAAAGGACCCTAAGCTTAACATGGGAACCATGTTGGGTTGGCTTCCTCGGCCAGGGCTCTGTCCCGCAGCACAGACTTAGTGCCTGTGACGCCAGCAGAAGTGCACAAAGGTTCTCCCACGCCCCAGCGTGTGACGCCCAGAAACACGAGCTCGCTGGGCCTCACCCTGCCTGCGGGTTTGACATTTTACCAGTGACTTCTATCCAGGCAAGAAGAAAACTGGAGGAGCAGTTAACTGGCAGGAAGCTGGGGGGAGAACAGTTATAGGGCAGGAAGAGCAACCTCCAGCCATCCTAAGAGCCAGCAGGTGGGGAGAAGCCAAGTGGACGTGAGGCTGAAGACACCCGTTGGACAGGAGTGCAGAGGGGTGAGGTCCCAGCCCCGGGCCTGCCCAGAGACCCCTCACGTGGCACCGCAGAGCAGGGCTGGGTGGGCGGGCAAGTTCCTCTGGTTGGGCCTCGGCGGGCACGCTCCAGGGAAGGGGCGCGGGCTCGGGTGAGCCCTGAAAGGAGGTGGGCCTCTCCCCCAGGACCCACGCCACTGCCTAGCACTAGGCCTCTGCAGGGAGCAAGGGTCCCGGGCTCCCACATTCCCCCGCGGGAGGCAGACGTGGAACTGCGGACGGGGAAGATGGTATGAACCCTAGTCCCTCAGAGAAACAGGAAGCAGAGGGTCCACTAAGCGGGGGCGATGGATGGGTGGGAATCACCCTACTGATCAAGACGAAAACTCTGAAGCCGGGCTGCCCCCAGGCGAGTTCTGAGGTCTGGCCTCAGTTGTGGCACCCGCTTCACAGGTCACACGGGTGGTGGCAGTGCCAAGCAGATGTGTGCTGGACGGCCGTTCAGAAGCCCTCCTGCTGCTGACACACGGCTACACACGACGCGTGCACCGGCACCTAAGCACACGCGTGCCTCCTGCTGCCTCGGGACCGCTGGGGCCACAAGCAGGCAACGCTCTGAGGGGCACCACACGTACCCACTCTTCTCCCCTGGTTTAGGGCCCCTTCTTGGGGTGAGGTGTAGGCAGGACGGCCGGGAAGGAGCCGCTGCTGGCGCTTCTGGGCAGCAGCAGCCCTCAGCGCCTCTCAGACAAATCCCTGAGCGATCCCAAGGGGTGGGGCCAGATGCCTTTGCGGAGGACAAGGCAGGGGCAGCCTGTGGGTGTCTGCAGCCCGGCCAGAGCGCTGGTGACAGCAGCACAGGTCAGACGCTGTCCTGCGTGCCCAGAAACGACCTCCCGGCTCTGCCCCTGGGAGGCCCCCACTCGGGACACGAGCACACACATGCACGAACACTCACACACCCGCGTGCACACCCGCGTGCACACGCAGCCCCAGGGGCATTTGGGGAGGCGGGCCCCTTTGGTTCTCTGGCTCCTTTCGCTCACCTGAGGATCCGATCTGAATTGGAGCTATTCTTGGAAGGATCTCCCGTTTGCGGCTGTTGCTTCTCATGAGATTTGGCTAATTTTTCAGCAGCAGCAATGGGACACCCAGACAAACTAGAGAGAAGGTGAAGAGGACAGCTAAGCAGTGCCCCCAGCCAGTAATTGCAGTCCAGGCCGGGAACCCCGCAGACGCCGGCTCTCTCGCTCGCCTCCAGCCCCGAGAGTAGCAGCGGCCCCATCTGTTTCTGTCAGGGGAAACTAAGCAATGACACAAAGCCGAAGTGTACCCCTCAGTGCCCTCCCGGCCCTGGGCAAAGGCACGTCCGCTGGGCAGGTCTGGGCCACGGCCTGCCCCTCCTGGCCGACCAGGCTACACTCGGGACCTGTCTCTGGCTCACGCTCCGTCAGCCGACTTGGGGAAGCCCGGGGTCCCACAGGCCACACAACCTGGGTGCTGACCCTGGGGCATGTGGCCTCTACCAGGGCACGTGGAGGCCCAGGCCCTGCCCAGGAAACACCCCACCTAAGACATCCCAGGAGCACCTCCGTCTGTCAGGATTAAGCTGCCTGGCTGCTGGGGAGGTGACCGGTCACAGGGTCGGGAGTCTCAGGAGTTTGGCCTCTTCTCAGTAAAGTGACCTCAGCAGCCCTAGCAGCCTTGGCCAGGCCACATCCCTTCACCGCCACACTCCCCGAGGTGCTTGGGGCAGGCGTGGAAATACAGTCGCCTCTTGCTGCGGAAGACGGCAGGCCGCGAAACGGTGGGTGCTCCCTGACAGTGTCGCTTCTACCTGGACCACGGCCCCCGCAGGTCCGCCCAGACCTTGGTCCTGGCCAGCAGAGGCCCACCGCGGGCAAGAGCCAGTGCAGACGCTTCCCAACACCGGCAGGACGCTCAGCCTCCCCCCGGTGTTCCCGTGGGCAGTAGGCCTCTCCGAAGGGCACATACCCATCCTTCGGGCCACCCTCTGGTCTCTCGGGACCCCCACCACAGTGACCACGTCTGGGCACCGTCCTGACCCCCACCAGGAGGCCTTGACCTGGCACCAGGCCCCGCCCAGCACAGCCCCCGACACCCTGGCTCCACCCAAGGGTACCTTCTGTGCGTGTTGCGGTTGCTGTTCACGTGGCCTTGGCCCGTACAGCCCGGAGTAGGGCACTTCAGCACGTTCTCGTGCATGGCCAAGACTGGAAGAGAACCAGCGGGACGGCGACGGTGAGCACAGCCGCAGGCCTCAGCCCCGCCAAGGCACGTCCCCCCACCGCAGCCCTGCCTCCCGGGCAGAAGCCAACTTAGCTTGAACCCCTAGGCTTGCCCCGGGATTCGCCCTTTGAAGTTGGTGCTGCAATTACTGCCTCTAGCCCAGAAGTGAGGACAGGCCTCCTCGCGGCCTTCAGGGTACCGATGGCTGGTCTCCCCAGCCTGCCGACCCTGACCTCCCCCTCTGTGCGCCTGTGTGTATGGCAGGCCTCCCGGGGTCCCGGCGTGGGCTGCTGTCTCACGGTACGTAACTGGACACACACCATGTCCCCCTCCTCGTAGGCCTCAAGCTTGGGCATCTGGACTGTGCCAGTGCAAGGGGACAGGACCCTGAGTGACCACGTGTCCGCGTGAACATCCGCCGAGCCCAGGAACGGCTGCGCTGTGCACAGCTACTCACTCTCGGGGGGATCCTGTCCTTGTGGGGGCACCCAGACAGGCTGCGGTGGTGAGGGTACAGCCCCGTAACATGGCCGGTGCCGTCACAGCCTGGCGTTGGACACTTGATCTCACGCTTCTCAGCTCTTGAGGGATCTAAATACACAAGACGCATTGGTTAGAGAGGAGCCGAGGGCCGCATGGCAGGGGCCGAGGGGGGAGATGGGGACAGCTGTGATCCTCCGCTCCAGGCGTCTGGAGAGGAGATGGCCAGACCGCCCAAGAGCCTGAGGGGGCCTGGAGGCTAGATAGTTCTGGGCAGCGGTCCTCACGGAAGCCGAGGCTGTCCAAAGTGTCCCCCTAGCAGGATGTGCAGCATTTTAAAAGGACGCCCCGGGGGGCAGCCGGCGCCCGCGCACCTCGCTCCCGCAGAGATTGTGTGAGTCTCACTGGCTCCGTCGGGGGGGCCGTGCCTCCGAGAGCCCCCATGCCTTGAGGTCCAGCCTCTGCATAGAGAGGTGAGAGATGTGACACGTTCCTTGCCGGGATGTGTCCTTTGGATTTGACAAAACAAGGACGAAAACAGACCCTAACTTGCCCGAAGCCGCACGACTATGAAAAGCACGGGCAGGAATGTAAACTCAAACATCAGCTGCTGATCTCATGTAGCTTCTGTGGGCCAGGAGGGCCAATGAGTGTGGGTGACGATCCCCAAAGCACGGCCAATGTCCCACAGAAAGTCCTAGATGGAGTCATGGCCTCTGGGATAGTGTGGAGGCCCCGGCCACACTCTGCACTCCCACCCCAGGTAAGCCCCTAGGGGCTCCAAGGGCAGGACGCTGGCTCCGCCTCTCCAAGTTCAAAGGGGTGGGAAGCTGGACTTTGGCCATCGTGAGCCCCCCCTTCCTGAGTGCCCACCGCCCGCCGCACACGGGCTCCCCCCGGGGCTCACACCGGCTCAGCGCCCCAGTGTCAGCCCAGCCTCTCCCACTGCCTCACCCCGAGGCTCTGTCCCCTGGCTCCATGCCCTCGACTCTGTCCCTGGAGGCAGGATACCCTGCATCTGGGTCCCCCAATGTCCATTTCCACGGGTCTGAGTCCTCCAGTCGTGCGCTCAACAGTCTCCCACCACCGTCTGCCCTGATCTGGGAGCCCCAGAGTGACACCCCACAGAGGCCCCAACACCTGTCCATAGATTTGTGTCACCTTTGCCTGGTCTGCTTGCGTCCACATCCCCTCAAGACCTTGCTGGTCTGAATCTGAGCTCTCAGGCCGCTGTCCCCGATGTGTGTGCCCTTGGTCGCTATCCTCCGGGTTGAAACAATGTCCTCATCTGTGTCCCCTCGGCTGTGTCCCTCGGTATCTGCCCCAAGCCTGACTCATGTGAGTATTCACAGAAAATCTGTGCCGTGCGTCCCTACCTACCTACCACCTGGGCTTCCCCAGAGCTCACCCGGGGCTCCCCATGCCCCAGGTGCGTCTCTCCACAACCAAGGCAGGCTCCCAGGCTGTGGCCGAGCTGCTGGAGCCTGCTCACCGTCCCTCAGGGCCTCCTCCTCCCACCCGGAGCTCTGTGCCTCTCTCTAGACCACCCTATGGGGGCAGCGTCAGTCCTTCTCCTCGGTATCAACAACCAGCCTGTGATTATGTGTCTGTTTGTCCTTTTCTGCACCTGTTGGCCCCGCCCCCAGCCTGTGAGGGCTTCTGGCCCGCCTCTCCCCCAGCCTGCATCTCCACACCTGGGGGGCGGGAGGCGCTACCGGATGCGGGGAGGAGGGGCAGGTGCGCAGGGAGGCTGCGGGGAGGAGGGCCCGTGCGCAGGGCCAGGCCACCAGCCCTACCTTTGCTGCAATAGTTCTTCCGTGAGGCATCCAGGGGCCTGGCCGCCTTCCCTGGTTCTCCGGGGCCCAGCTGGCCTTGCTCGGTGGGTGGGCAGCCCGGCTCACAGACGGCTTGCACCTGCTCGGCCTTCAGGGCGATGGCCTGCTCCAGGAGACCCAGGTTCCCCCGCGTCATCATGTCATACATCTCCGACTCGTCCGTGACCGCAGACTTCTGGGAGCGTGAGTCTTCATCCTTGCCGTCGTCAGAACGCACCTCTACTATGACGGAGTACTCGGGCTTGGGGCTGGGAGATGCTGGGTGCCGGAGTTCAGGGGCCTTCTGGGTGGGGGCATGGGGGGCATCCTCCTGGCAGATGACATCAGGAACAGGGACCTCCTCCTCCTCCTCGTCTTCCTCCTCCTCCTCTTCATCTTCCTCCTCCTCCTCTTCATCCTCCTCCTCTTCCTCCTCCTCCTCCTCCTCTTCCTCCTCCTCCTCCTCCTCCTCCTCCTCTTCTTCCTCCTCATTAACCAGGGCAACTTTCATCTTGCTGGACTCCTCCCTGGCCACACCCTCCACAGACTGGGGCCCCGGCTCCTGGGAGCACTCCCTGCTGACTTCCACGACGTCCTCTGTGTCGTCTGGGCGGATGAACACGTCCTTCTCCCCCTCGTCACTGGTGGCCTCTTCCTCGGCCTCTTCCTGAAGCAGGTGCACCACAGCGGGGCCCGGCTTGGCCCCCTGGCCCAGGTCCTCCCCAACGAGGGTCTCTACGGCGATCTGGCCCAAGTTTAGGAGAGAAGTGGCAATGATCTCCTGGTAGCTGCTGTAGCTGCCCTTGGCGGGGCCCGCGGAGCTGCCGATGGGCTTGGATGCAAAGTGGGACTTGACAGGGCTCCTTCCTGCACAAAATCAGAAACATGTGGGAGCGGCGCAGGGGGGCCGCACCCCGCACAGCCTGAGGACACGCAAGCCCCGCCCGGAAGTGGACCGTGGCCGTTGGTGCCCGCGCCCTGCCTGGACCTGGGCGCACCGTGGGCTCATTTTAGGAGAGAGCCGGGCTAGTCGCTTCTGGTTTTGTAGCTGGGAAATACTCTGCTATTTTTTGTCAGCATCTTACCCTTATGTCTACTTTCTCAAGTCATAAAATGGAACTTAAAGAATACAACAGATTTTTAAGACTGCTTCGCAAATACAAAGCAGAAAACGAATTTGTGTCTTTAAAAGACACACATGGGATCCCTGGGTGGCGCAGCGGTTTGGCGCCTGCCTTTGGCCCAGGGCGCGATCCTGGAGACCCGGGATCGAATCCCACGTCGGGCTCCCGGTGCATGGAGCCTGCTTCTCCCTCTGCCTGTGTCTCTGCCTCTCTCTCTCTCTCTCTCTGTGACTATCCTAAGTAAATAAAAATTAAAAAAAAAAAGACACACGTGTAGAGCTCTTAACTGCCATGACTACGGCGTTGCAGGTGCTGAGGACACACAGGCCCTGTGGGATGGTGGACAAGGACGGCCAGGGGGCGGGAGCCAGCCCTGCCGGCCGCCCATTCCAGGAGGGGGCCAGCCAGGGCCGCACCCTGAACCCCAAACTGCCTCCTCTGTAGGAAACAGGCAAGCTGGTCCTTTCTACCTAGAGCCCAAGGGACCGCGCAGCCCTTTGAGCACCACCGGACACCCCCAGGAGGGAGCCCAGTGTCAGGACTCTCCCTGAGGATTGGCTCCACCATAGAAGACACCCCTGGCTCGGACACGGCACATGGGGTCGGGCCTCGGTCTCAGCGCCACCCCCAGGGCTCCACGGTCTGCCAGGCTTGGGGACATGCACGCTTCCCTCTGCCAACGTCTGGGTGCCCCACAGGGAAGCCGGGGTCCCAGGCACCCTGCAGCCACATCCCGTCCCGGCTCCCCCAGGGCCCGCTGAGGCCCGGCCCAGCGCACATGCACAGCCCTCGGCCGTCTGTCCGTCTGTCTGGCGTCTCTGTGCGCACAGTGAGGGGCCCCAGGCCCTCAGGCGCCCCGCTCCGGCCCCTCTCCAGGAAGCACCGCCGAGCGTCAGGACAAGCCCTCGCTTGTTCTCGGGAAGGGCTTCCTCGCGGCCCTTTCACTGACTGGGGCGGCCCTCCCGCGCACAGGCTGCGATTCTCCAGGGCCGCACTAAGCACCCTTTATTTCGGGGGAGAAAGAGCCACAAAGCACCTTCAGCTGGCTCAGGACGATGAATCTCCTCCTGTCCTGACATTTCAGCCTCGTCCTCCTCCAGAGTTCCTTCCGATTCATCTGAAACAGAGGCGTCCTTCACCTCGGCATCCTCGCTGCCGTCGGTGTCCACGCTGTAGCCCTCGTCCAGAGCCAGCTTCAGGGGGTGGGACTTCCGCTTGGACACCAGGTGCTCGGCCTGGGCACCCTCCAGCTTCCTCTTCTTGGCCAGAGGGCAGCTCTGCAAACTGGGAGGAAGGGGGCCAGGGCCACCCTGTCAACACCCCCTGGGGGCCTCCGCCCACTCTTCACCCTCTGCAGCCAGTACCCGGTTCTGAAAGTTTGCCTGTATGCCCACCACCATCCCTGCACTAGATGCCCCACGCTCACACGGGGCAGGTCGAGGTGGTGACAATTTTACATGAATTGTCCATATTAAAAACTTGTGATGTGCTTTAAATTGCATTTCCTTCCTCTCTCGTAAGCCCCAACCTCAGTGGCCCTGTCCACACGCTCCCCTGTCGGGAAGAGGACGGGACTGGCCCTGGGTCAGCCGCAGCCTGCGGCCTCCTGCCAAGCAGGTCATCAGGGTGCCCCGGCCCTCCCTCCTGCACCTCCAGGCCCTGCACACCCTCACACACCTGCACTCAAGCTGGCCGCCCCCCCGCCCAGGATGACAGCAGTGACAGCCATGTGGCAGCTCATCTGGGTCACCTCAACGTGTGGCAGGTCTGCTCTAAGCTCTCCCCACGGACTCATCCAGCCTTCAAGCCCCAAAAGAGAGACCGCGGCATGACACGCCAGGGCCATGTTAGCTTCAGCAGCCACAGGCAGAGATGGAAGGTTCTAGAGCTACAGTAGGGCCCGGAGCAGGAGAGGGTCTCCAACACCCCGCAGCCCAGCCTCCCTCCCAGGAACCTCCTTACCTGCGGTGCCTGGAGTACTTGCCCCGAATGTGTCCTGAGCCGGTGCACCCTGGCGTGGGGCAGCTGGGGGGGAGACAAGCAGCAGGGGTCACTCGGGGGGAAGGACCCGCCCACCCCAGACCCTCAACCTGGGGAGCAGGAGATTGTCTCCAAACAGTGCATCTCAGAAACTGCTTGCAGTTTGCTAAAAATTAATGAAATAACTCACCCCATTTAAATAAACGAATGGCTCATTACAATTTTATGAGTGTGTTTAATTAAAGATCTGTATGTATGAGATCAAGACTTCCAACATCAGCGGCTCCTAGACGGCTTCTTTTTTCTGTGGATAAGTTTTTCCCACTGCAGGCAAACTGCCACCAGGCTTCCAAGCTGCTGGGAAACAGGACCCTCTGCGGAGCCCCCAGAACCAGCTCCTGAGGCTGGCCCAAGGGCAAAGCAGAAACCTGGGCTTCTCACGGCCATCGCTGTGCTCTGAGGCTCTCGGGCCCTGCCACGCGCATCCAGGCAGGAGCGGTTCCGAGTACACATGCAGGCCTGGCCCAAGTGTAGGCCCCCGCTGCAACCCTCCTGCAGAACCTGCACCCTGATGCACGGAGGTGAGGCTGGGAGGGCCGATGACCCAGGGGCTACCCCTAAAAAGGGCAGAGGTGCTGCTGGGCCTCACACAGCCTGGGAGACAGCAAGTGCCCAGGGGATGAAGGTGAGGCCCTGGGGAATTCCTCACCCTCCACCATCACCCGTCTCCCCATCGAACCAAACCACAGAAAACTCTAGGAACTTCTGATCTTGGACACAGGGCATGCCACCCAACCCACTTCTCCTAGAGTCAGCTCCATGTGAGGCCAGGGTCCTGGGGGCCACTGAGCACGTCCACAGACCACAGACCGCAGACCGCAAGAAGCGGACACCACCTCGTTTCCAGAGCGGCAAACTGACACCCAGAGAGATGGAGAACACATGGGCAGTAGCCCAGAGGAGGCCATGCCTGAGCTCCTCCTCGGAGGGGCCATGCCCAGTGCCCAAGATGGGAAGACCTTGGTTTTCACAGGCTTGGCATCGCGGAGCCTGAGCTCCCCACTTCAGCTGGGGTGTTCCCAGATCCTGCAAGGGAAGAACAGGGTAGGCCCCAGAAAGGGCACGGCCCCCGACCTCTGTCTAGACACGCCGGATGGTCTCTAAGTTGATTGATCAGGGGCCTGACTGCAATGCACTGAGGGGCTCATCTGGCCCCGCAGGTCACACCCACCGACGCGTCAGGGAGAAGCAGGTAGTCTGTGCACGCAGAGCCCCGCCCACCCCGAGCTCAACAGCGGCTTGCGGGGGAGCGGCGGCCTCCGTGGAGCCCTCCCAGCTGGGGCCACCGAGGCCGATCTCAGGGCTGGTGTCCATGTGTTTAAGAGGAAGAAAGGAAAGGACGAAGAGGGAGAGAGGATGGAGCGGGAGGGAAGACGTGCCCATTTTATTGTGGGTTTCCTTTCCAGACAGACAGGACTTACCGCTGCCCCCCGCCTGTCTATTCTGAAATCTCTGCCCCACGCTTGCTTTCTCTCTCTCAAGAGCTAGCTTTGAGACTTTTCACAAAAGGTCCTTGTTACTGGGGATTTGAAGCCGAGGTCCCAATTAGCCGATTAATCACTGAGTTAATCAGGCAATTATGTGACAGCTGCTGTGGAGTCCTGTAGGCCACTGGCACTGCCCCGGAACACGTCACCAGCCCCAAGCCACACCTCCACCCACCAGTTCAGAAGAGCTCTGGCCTCCAGCCCAGAGGGCAGCAGGACAGGCTGGGAGCCCACGGGCGAGGAGCAGGTGAGGGCCCCTCTGGGAGAAGAAGCCGGAACCCCCACACCCCTGCTCTGCACACAGCAGCGGGGGGACGTCCGACGGAGGCCCCGTGAAACCTGGCCAAGGCCCAGCGGCCACACGACCAGCAGCCCTTGCCTCACGGCCCAGTGTCCCCTACAAGCCCCCCCAGTGCGGCAGCCCTGGTGCCCTCGGGGGCTCGGGGCCAGAACCAGCACCAGGTCCGGGCCCGGGAGCCTCTCCCCCCTCAGATGAGGCACATTCGGCCAAACCCCTCCCTGGACTCCCCTGGGGGCTCCGGAGTGTGTCAGGGACAGGCCGACAGCAGGGCGGCTTGCCGAGGGTCTGCTCGCACTCAGCACCACCGGGGGCCGGGGACCACTCAGGTCCAGGCACAAACGGCGGGTGTGAAGGGAAGTCCAGGTCGAGGCCAGGAGGGGCCAAATCCCCAGCGGAAGCCCCGCGCGCCCAGCAAACCCTAACCCCCCCCACCCCCACCCCACCCCCCCACCCCCGCTCCTGTCCCTGAGGCAGGAGCCAGCCACCGAGCCTCCGGCGTGGAGGGGGTGCTCTGCTGAGGCCCCGTGGCTGGGAAGGAGCCTGATGCAGGCGCCCCGCACGGGCAACTCTGTTCAAACTTAGGGGCAGCCCGATGATTCGGGAAGGGGTCAGGCGGCCGGCATCCGGGGCAGGGGTCGGGTGCCCCGCCTTCCTGCCAGCCCGCGCGTCCCACGGACCCGCTGCAAGGCTGCACGACGGCAGATGGCATGGAGTAAGGGACAAATGGCGGTGCCCACCCGCTCTTCCTCCTGCGAAGGAAACAGTGCCGGGTCCCTTCGCTTTCTGGCGGGCGCTCCGAGAGAAATCCAGGGCCGGAGAGGCAAAGTGGGCTGCAGAGGGGAGAGGGAAGGGAGCCTGGCCTGCTCCTGGTCGGCCTGCTGCTCAGCTCAGCCTGAGGCCGTGCCACTGCCCCGAGGGTGCGCAGCCTCCTGGAGGCAGCCCGAGGTGGGGGCCACACCTGACTCCGGGACCCCGAGGCATCGGCCCCCATCCACAGAGTGGGTCCCCCCAGGAGGGCTGCACCCTAGCTCGGCCCTCCCTGCCGGCGACTCACGCCAGGACGTTGCTATACCAGGTCACAGTGCGTGTCCCCTGCACTGGCACCCAGGCCATCAACCCCCAGGACCGGGGTCTCAGCTGCTCATCTGACCGCAGCCCAGCGCTGGGGGAGGGGGAAGGAGCCCGGCCCGTGGCACCTGCTGTGGCTGACACTCACGGGGAGGAAGGGCGAGAGCCGCCAGCGCGCCGCAGCCCACGTCCCCGCTGTCGCTCACGGTCAGCAAGTGGCTGTGACCACGGGAGTGACCGTCCAGGCAGAGCGTAGACTTCTCCGCTTTACGCCAAGCCGCCGTTCCCCAAAACACGAGGAAGGCTGAAGACGTAGTTGCTAAAACATTAGACGTCGATGCGTCTGTCCCTAGTTTCCCCTTAAAAACCGTAACAGTCTATTCCCAAGTACGCAGATTGAGACCACGCGGCGGACGGAGGCGCGCACGCAATCCCCGCAGACCAGCCCCCCGCAGATTGCTCCAAACCAGTTCTGTCTCCAGAGGCATTTTTGCTTCTGCTGTTTCAAAATTACAAGAGAGAAGCTGGCTCTTCGGATCTGCCTCTGCAAGCTCCTGGGTGGCTTCACCTGTCGCCCAGCCCCTCCCTCCACTGTCCTGAAGACGCCTCCCTGCTGAACACGTGGCCCAGGGGAAGAAGCACCTCCTCCTGGAAGCCCCTGGCCCTTTGAGTACCTACTGGTCCACCGGTCAGAGGGCGCCCGCTGGCATCAGCGGCCACCTCCCCTCCAGGGAGCCTGTTGGGGGGCCTCCCACTGGCCTGGTTTGGCTGCCCTGCACCCTGTGATTTAGGCCGAGCTCTGAGCAGTACAGTGTGTGACCCAGCTCCTTGGTCAAACGTGAACCCTCTGAGACTCAGTTTCCCCACTTCACACACGGGGTAATAACAGCACCCGGCAGCGCCTCCTGAGAGCGAAACCATGCTGTGCAGCCACTGCCAAGCCCATCACAAGCCTGGGAGTCTGGCCTCCTCTGTGCCCCATCCCTTTGTCCGCAATGTACAGCCTCAAAGGTTAGAGGGACACGGGGACACTCTGGGGTCCTCTCATTTTCCTGATTGGCAAAAGCCACCCTTCAATAACTCCAGTGCTGGCCCCAGACCTGTCCAGTTTAGTGAGAATCTTTCCTCCAGAGAATTAGGAAGCCCTGAAGCCCTGTACGTGCACAGCGATGTGAGAAGGGCTGCGCAGGCCTGGGGCGGATGGAGCAGGGAGGGAACTGCACTGACCCCAGAAACTTGAATGATCTGTTAGATCCCAGCTGGGGGTCTGGAAACTCACAGAAGGCCCCCGGGAGTCGTCGTCACCCTTGCTGCCGGGGGCCAGGGGCTGGGGGGCGGAGGGCTCAGTGCTGTGCTCAGCCCCAGAGCTGCTATGGGAACGACGGTGGGCTTGGAGCCCTTCTGTCCCCCAAGGACAAGCCCCCAGCAGGTTACCGCAGCTGCAGCCAAGCCTGGCTTCCTCTCGTGGGGAGTTGGTGAAAATCAAAGGGTGCCCCTGAGGCCCACCTGACTTGCCAGGTCCCTCAACGAGCACCACTTCCCTTTGTCCTTTCAAGCTGGAGCCAGAACACATTGGTGTAGCCCTTCGACCCACAGGTGGGGGACCGGGGGGCGGTTTTCTTTGCCGGTTACTGGGCATCATCAGCACTAAGCACCAAGCCTGGCACCAGAGGAGCCCAGGCCCACAGAGTGTGAAGTGCAAAGGTCGTGTGGGTGGTGGGACCCTGACACACAGACACTGGGCCGTCCCCCCGCTGCCACCCCAGGGGCCAATCCCAGGACACAAGCCGGCAGGTGACGGCAAGTGCACCTCTGGGGACAAGAGCCCGGTCCCTCCTGCCTTGACCCGGCAGATCCCCGCGGTGGGCTGTCCTCCCTTCTTCCCCAGGATGCTCGTGTCTTGGTGAGGCAGGTGAGGTGTGACCCAAAATCTAGAGCTCAGCCACTGAAGATCCCCAACACACAAACCTCTTTCTGCGTCTGGAGTCAGTGGGAGACGTGGGACCTGGGCAGCCTGTTCCCTCGTCTCTGGCCACATGGGGCCTCCAACCAGCAGACTCAAACCTCTGTGGGATCCCACTCCACGGCACCACGTGGCCGGCCGGGGACCGTACACACAGTCAGATCCTGGTGGTGACTGGGCGCGAGAACGCCCGTGGCCCTGATGGAGGCTGGCTGCGTGGTGCGGCCGGAGCAGAGGCGGGAGAGGGCAGAGGCCAGGTGAACACCGCCGGGCTCGAGGCAAGGGCTCAGGAGAGCGGGAACGCCCCGTGTGGGACGCTGGGGGTGCTCAGGGTCACAGGCATGCGCAACGCCGGGTGCTAGCAGAAAGCCTTTCTTACCTGAGGTCGGCACCTGTGGGCTCTGGGGGCACTGAGTGAGAGAAAGAGAAACAGGGAAACACATGTGGGAGTCCGAACAGAAAAGCCACGTTGCCCTCACGGCACAAATGGGATAAAAAGTGGAGGCAATCCCAGTGCAAACTGAACCCCTCCTCCTAGAATGTCCTACAGGGTTCCCCAGAGGCCCCCGTGAGAGGCTGGTGGTTGTGCAGAGTGGGCCCCATGCCCACTAATACGAGCTGTCCGGGCTTCAGGGCCAGGACAGTATCTGCTTCTCTAACTGCAGCTGGAAGTCAGCTTCCAACAGGAAACTCAGCCCAGCAGATAAGGCTGGACGGAGAGAACAGATGGGCCACTCAGCTGGGCCCTAGTGACGGGGCACAATGCCCTGGGGTCCGACTGGGCAGCTCAGCTGAAAAGCTCAGTGCTCGTGGTCCCGCATGTGTTCATGGGGTCCGGGGGGTGAGGCTGGCCAAGCGGTCTCAGGGGGCCTTGGCTCCCTGGCCTCCCACCCCACTGCGACCGGCATGCTGGGAGGACAGGAGGCTGGGGGCAGAGGGCTCGCAGCATTCCGACTCCAAATAGAAAGATCTCCCGACTGAGCTTTGCCTTTCCCACTCGGTGGAGCCGTCTGTCTCCTGTCGCCACCCCAGGCAGGCTTGTCGGGACCCCAAAGCAGACGCCTCAGGCACCTGAGGCTGAAGAGGCCCTAGGCCACCAGACACCATGGACCCCAAGTGCCCAACGCACGGGGAGGAGCGTCCCAGGGCCTGCTCATCAGCGGTTCTGTTCTCCTGAGCAAAGTAGCATGGACCGCTTTAAGGCCTGGGACCCCGGGCCAGAGCCGACGGAGGGGGCACTCACCTCGGACGGCCTTGGAGCGCGTGCGAGCCCGCTTATCCTCATTGTCCAAGCTCATCTGCAAGCAAAAACAACTGCGATGTTCACGAGACCCAGCACAGAGCCACCCCTCCAGGGCTGCGCCGGACCTCCAGCCACCATCTGGCTCCAGCTCTGCTGGGGACGGTGAGTCTGTGACAGAGACGCAGGGAGTGGGCTCCCGGAGGGGAAGGCCTGAGGCCCAGAGCAGAGACCCCCAGCCCTGGGTGTTCCCGCCGCCTGCTCCCAGCCCTCCCACCTGGCGAGGAACCCAGGCAGGAGCCCCGCCCCGCCCCCTCCATCCTCAGGGGTGGTAGGGTTTCTGGCACGTGGTCTCCTGGCGTGGCTGAGGAGCACCACCCACTGCTCACGTGGGGGTGCCAGCTGCTCAGGCCTCACGGCGGGTCACCCACAGGGCCCCAGAGCCGGCTTCCCATTCAAGTAAGTGCCTCACACGCCAGGATCATCCTCTTAGAAACAGATGGAGGAGAACAGAATGGGCCACCACAGAGCGCCCAGAGAGCAAGAGCCTCCGATTTCTACGTGCTCTGTCCCGGAGAGAGCCCGGGGAGCGTGCGTCCCTCGCAGTTAGGGACCTCCAGAGCCCTACCACCCTGGGAAATAGAGAGCAGGTCAGGGATGGGCTTCAAGTGTGCTGGTAGCCACATTATAAACGCAAAAGGAGGGTTGCCCGGGTGGTTCAGCGCTTAAGCGTCTGCCTTCAGCCCAGGGCGTGATCCTGGAGACCCAGGGTCGAGTCCCACATCAGGCTCCCTGCATGGAGCCTGCTTCTCCCTCTGCCTGTGTCTCTGCCTCTCTCTTTCTGTGTCTCTCATGAATAAATAAATAAAATCTTTGAAAGAATAAAATAAAATAAAAAAATAAACGCAAAAGGAAATGTGAAACGGATTTTAATACTACAGCCTTGCTTAGCCAGATCTACCCGACACACTGTGACTTCGACAGTAATCAATATAAGAAATTGTGGCCGGGACTCTGTTCCGGGCTAACTCTTCAAAAGCCTGCGTGGGTCGTGGACTCTCAGCACATCTGGGTTTGGCTGGCCACATGCCGGGTGCCCGCGACTGCTGCTGTACGGCGAGCTTCTAGAGGTGGGAAGCAGGGTCAAGTGAAAGTCCCCTGAGGGCAAGAATGCAGGCCAAGGGGCCTTCTGGACGGGACGCACAGGCCACCCCCCAGGGATGTCGCTTCTCAAAGGAAAGGATGAGAGGGGCCTCCTGAGGGGCAGAGCACCCCACACCGTGCAGACACCTCACGTCCCCTGGTCACCCCACCTGAGCCCATCAGGGAACCCCCACGTTCCCTGCCTCTGACCAACTTCCATGGGGAACACTGTCCATACAGTCCTGCAGGGAGTCAAAGGAGGGCCCTCAGGAGGGTGAAGCCTGGGCACAAGGGTCGCAGACAGCCCAGGGTGGGGGTGTCCCCGGGGCCTGCAGGCTGCCGCATAGAACCGTGGGCATGTGTCAAATCTGGGCAGGTAGGGATCCCTGGGAGGCGCAGCGGTTTGGCGCCTGCCTTTGGCTCAGGGCGCGATCCTGGAGACCCGGGATCGAATCCCATATCGGGCTCCCGGTGCATGGAGCCTGCTTCTCCCTCTGCCTATGTCTCTGCCTCTCTCTCTCTCTCTCTGTGACTATCATAAATAAATAAATTTTTAAAAAAAATCTGGGCAGGTAGGTGATGAAGAGGTACGAGGTAGGAGGGACCCCAAGCCGTTCCTTGTTTCCAAGGCCGGGTGAGGTGTGACCCATGCGTCCCGTGAGCCCCAGGAGGCCCCAGGAGAGCCAGGGCCCATGAGGCTCGCCACCCATCCTGTTGTCGGGAAGGGGAGGGAGGTACTCTGGCCGCCCCAGGCCGTAGCCCAAACCCACACGGTAGGAAAGAAGGAGCAGAGAAAGGAAGGAAGGGCCACAGGAAGGGCCACGGCCCGCACGAGACAAGGGTCTGCGGTCTGAGCTGACACCCCGACCCGCAGAGAAAGGGAAGGGCACCCCCCATTAGTAAGATAGAATTTGCAGAGTGAACCTCCCACACAGGCCGCGCTAACCTACAGTGATTTATGTGATTTGTTAAGGAAGAAAAATCAAAACCTGGGGTAATTTATGCAACCTGTCGACCCCGGGCTGCAGAGCCACAGTGTCACGAGCTGTGCGTTTATTACAGCCTTCCAATAGCACAGAAGACAATTACTATAATCTCTATTTTTAAAGCAGAGGTTCCCCGTGGACCAATGACTCACATTTAAAGTGAAGAGAGGAGCAGGTGTCAAAGGGACTTCATTACATTTATGAGCCTTCAAATGTCATCTGCACTGAGCCCAAGCGCAGGGCCTTCCGACGTAGGCCGCACAATGGAGCTAATGCGTCTGATTGCCGGGCGCCTGCTTTCAGCTGAAATGCAATCTACAGCTTTTTTTTTTTTTTTTTTTTGTCAGTTTTCCCAAGGAAATTGGCAATCATTCTGCTAGGTTAAAGCGTGCCTTGGCAATTTGGATTTCCTGCAGATAAATTATTCAAAGAGCAGAGAATAGAGAGAGTTGCAGGGATGCGTAATGGGCGCTGCTTGCAAACTACGAGCGCTCCCATTGATGAAGCTAACAGCTGTGACATTCAGTTTGCCGAGCACCTTTCCATTTGCAATTTATCTGCATCAAATGGTCAATAAGTGAGAAGTTCTCTTCAGTGCATGTAGCTTTGATTTTAAAAAAGAAAGAAAGAAAACCAGCCACAGGAGGAAAAACGAGTTAGCTCTTTAATATGAGAATGAAGTCGGGAGAGCGGTGACGTGGCACAGCAACGACCAAGCAGGGGACTTTGATTCCCTGATTCCCGAGCTGTTTGAAAGGAGCGGTGGCGGCCGCCTGGGAAGCCTCTGGGCAGAGCTGCGATGAACCCAGCTCCTCCGGGCACCTACGTTGCTTCCTTCCCCGAGACCCGAAGGTTCTCCAGGGGCGGGTTCTCTGCCGGCCTCACTGCCTGTCGTGGATGGAGAGCCGGCGCCCATACACCACCTGGACTCGGGCTGCTTGGCTTCCTGGCAGCCCCCCAGGGCCTTCTGTCCCTCACTCCACAAAGACAGGCCACTCGCGGGCGCAGAGACAATGAGACACTTTCCAATGTTTCATTGATTTATTTTTAAGAACCCTTCACTTGTTCCAAGCACGGGCCAATCAAGTCTCTATTTCTGTCGGGCCCAGGGATTACTGAATGGCCTCTCACCCGAGGGCGAAAAGGCCCCTTGCGCCGCCGGCTGACCCCGTCCCCACCCGCCGTGGGGCGCGGTGATCTCTCTCAAGAGCGTCGTCGCGCTCTGTTTCTGTGGGCCAACGTCTTTCTGCCACCAGGAGCCTGTCTTACAGCTTCCCTCCGCTCCTTAAACCATCACTCCTCTCTAATTAATATTTCAACAGTTCTGTTTTCAAGAGGAAACGGTGCAGAGGAGAATTTATAAATGCAGAGACATCCTGTTTTGCCACATCCATTAACCAGAGAGAATTGTCTCTTCATCCTTCCCTTTAACTTGCTTTGTTAGTGCCATATAATGGGTCTCACTCAAGAAGGTGTTACTATTTTGTTCTGTTTTGTACTTTTTTTTTTTTTGTAAAGTCAAGATTAATCACGTAAGCTCTTTTTAAATACAAACGGTTCTTACCGCGTCAGGCTGCAGAGACCAGCCCCGTTTCAGACCCATCTGCACAGCACCCTTGCCAAAACGGAGTCTCCTAAGTTGGGCATTTACAAACTTGGGACCAACAAAGCAAATGCAGTCATTATGCAGCCTCGAAACCCATAGATTTTTCCGGACTCTTGGGCTGTGATTGTCAGAACCCAGACACACAGCCGGCAGGAAGGCAGAGAGGGTAGGCCCTCAGTGTCCCCTGAGTGTCCAGTCAGAGATTTTTCTTTCACGAGGTGAGCAACGAGGCCCAGCAGACTTTGTGCCAAGCTTCGCCTTGACCCTCAGAGGCCAGGTCTGCCCCCTGCACCCCCCCACCCTCCCCAAGTTCAGGGGCATCCTTCGTGGTCTCTGGAGGGGTCCTCCTCCCCCCTTCTCTCTCTTACTCACATTCTCCCTCTCCCTCCCCACTCTCTCCTTTCTTCTTGGCTCTTCCCAGGCCTTCCAGCCAGAGAGCTTCCCTCCTCTCCATGCTGTTCCACGTCCCTTGCTCTTTTATATGAATGGCTAAGGGTGGGACAAAGAACAGAACTCATGCTGAGGCTGTCCTGCCTCCCCAGTCCCTGCAGGTGTCCTGGCAGGAGGAGTGAGAGCCAGCCTCAGCCCCAGGCGGCAGGGTCCTCACTCCAGGAAAGAGCTCAGGGTGGAGGGGGCTGCTCAGACTTGGGAGCCTGGGTGGGAGCGATGAGGCTCAGTGAAGCAGTGATGACCCGAGGGTCTTAGGGAGAGTGGCCTCGGGGTGAGAGATGCTCCAGTCCTGGGAAGCAGGAAACACACCTGGGTGGCCTCTCAAAAGTCAGGCCTGTGCCTCCTTTTCCCACCCTCTCTGTTCTGTGCCTGTTCATTCCCCTCATGGTCCTCATCTTGCTCTGAAATAAGCTCACTCACTCGTGTTTTCAAGGTCATTTCCTCTCCTACAGAGAGTGAGGTGCCATGGCTTCATTCCCTGCTCGGCACATATTATGTAAGGGCCGACAGGCAGACGAATAGACAAATGGCCAAGAGTTGGGAATGTCTCTGAGATCCTGGAACCGGGGAATATGGGCAGGAGCAGTCGGATCCTGAAGGCAGGCGGGGGTTCCAGACCCCCTGAGGCCATGGGGGGCACTCATCCCCACCTGGGGCGGGAGGAGGAGACAGGTTATGGTTCCATTTCATGTAGAATGTGTTCCAATAGCTAGCAAAGCTGGAAAATTAGAATGGACTTAGCACAATTTTTTAAATCCACAAGATTATATGGATTATAGTGTCCCCGTGGGAGGGTTTCAGTGTTTTCCCTCCTGGAAGAACTAGACAAAGAGTGGGGGGCATCTACTGACCCTCAGGAGACCACAGACAAAG